GGTGGTGGTTTTACCATTTAGGAACAATTTCTGTATTTTTTATCATTCCTATATTTTCTTAAAACTACCTCTCCCATTACTGTATTGAGATGAAGTCAGAAGATCAGATACAGCCTGGCACTGTTTGGTAATCATGGTGGGCAGAGACTCTCCAGTGCTCAGTGGTGACAGGCCCTTTAGCAAAGCATCTCCTGCAAGCTCAGCTCTGAGGAGTGGCCCTGGGACGTGGGTATAGCAAGCAGTGCAAAGGGGGATAAAGACGGGCTAAGAGACAAGGAGGAAGGAAGGTAGGAAGAGAATTAGGGCCCTGAAAAGAGAATAAAGACAAGGAGGTCAGTCAGAACAACAACAAAGGGTTTAAACATGGACAAGACTTTTAAAGGTGGAGAAGTGAGAAAAAAGCATGCACATCAGAGGAGCCACAGAGCCCTGTGGGGCTTCTGTGATACTTGGTATGCGATGCTGAGGGAGTCTTGAGTTTGGTGGTTTTCTTGGTCTCGGTGTTTGGCCTGTGGATCTCCTGGTAGTAGGCTGTGGAAAAACAGTCAGTGTAGTGTCATCACTAAGCAAAGGAGGAAAAAAAAATCTGGATTTCAGTATAAATTTGTTCTTAATAAGTTAATCTACAAAGGAACCTACATGTTTGCTCTAACAACTCTTCAAGGATGGCCAGCTGTGAGGCAAAGTTAAGGTGATAGGAAATTTGGAATAAGTCTTTCCTTATGATACAAATTCTTGGTGTAGACGTGGCTGGTACAAAGTAACTGTACTGTTACCAGTTATAAAACAGAGGCTATCTCCTTTTTTTCGTTAATTAATTCATGAGCAAAACTATTAGTTTAAACTGTAGCTTTTAAACACATAAACACTGCAGATCAAAGCAGAGTTTTGTCACAACAGGCCCCAGTGTTGGCGACATGTAAAACCTGTCCTTTGCTGCTTTGTACGACTGTCTTCCAAAATGGCTGTAGGTGACAAAGTGCTGCTTAAGATCTAGTCTTCTTGCATTGTGTTGTAAGTGAAACAGAGGTCTATCATACTGGCTTTTGTCAGGAAAACATGCTAAACCAAAGCATATACCCTGGATATTTTTTGAAATATTTTCTTACAGGCTTGGAATTTAAGCTATCATGATACTGATGATATTTGGAAATTAAAGCTCATTACATGAGTTTTCACCACAGGAGTAGAGATCACATCCTGTTAAATGTCATATGACTAATCTAATTTTTGCAAATAACCACTGAATTACAATTTCTAAATACTTTTCCATGATGGTGTGTGATGCAATAGCCATGTCTTGGTTAAGCTTGTGGGTTACATGCATTGTTTCCTGGTTATGCTTATATTAATTCAGAATTAGAGAATGGGTGAGGTGGAGGGAATGCTTATCTACTAAGTGCAAAAGGGTATTTTCTAAAAGGGTATCTGGTAAGTGGAAAAGGATATTTTGGCAAGGCAAATCAAATCTCAGTGTTCTGATTCTGAAAATAAATGTTTAATTTTTTTAAAAATGGATTTTCTCATGAAAGACTGAATCTTCTTAAATTCTGGTCACTGAATAGAAATTCAGATTGCAAAATTTCTGTAGTGTGTTTTCTGATGACTGCCAAGGTCAGTCTTGAAAATATGCCAAGATTTGGTTAAATATGTTTAGATTGCAGGAATTAGTTGGTTTTGCTAGGAGTTCGGGGAGAAAATGGTACTTCAGTGTTGAAGCCTGCAGAGGTTGCATTTCTGGGGAGCAAGGGGGTGGGTTTTGGTTTTCCTCTTATCAAAGAGAAAGAAATTGTTATCTAATCATTTGACTTGAGAAGCAAGGGTTTACAGAAAGCTTCCCACCCAATATCACAAAGTTTGTGGTTACATATATATATATATATATATGTATATTTGGCAGCACCTCCTGACACACAGGATGTGACTTTGATATATACCACTGCATACTTACATTTCCACCATTTTATCTTTTAAATTGACTGTGGAAAAGATTATTAGTCACAAATAACAGTGGCAAACTTAGGGGGAAGTTTCCCAGCAAGCTAAGACAACCTAATGACTTGTTACTGCTGAAAAGTGATCCTGCTCCTATGCTTTTCTGGTGGCATAACTCTTCCATCTCTTGTAGTATCAGCTTGGTCTTGCTAACCTCACTTACCATCATCTGTTAATAAAATCTGTGAAAGTATTAGACATGCAGGCAGTCTTTCAAGTAGCTGTTGTTCTTTCTGCCAAAATTTGGTGTTTGCAGTGGTTCATAGGCTTACTGGGTAGGGGATGGTGCTGCAACCTGAGAAGTCAGTCAGGCTGAAATGTTTTCACTTTTTCTTTCTTAGAAGTTTCTTACACAGAAGAAGCATGGTAAAAAAAATTGAAAAATGATACTTCAGAGACTATAATTGGGAAAAAAGTATTTTTGTATTACAGATGACTTTAATATTAGGTTACATTCTGTCTTTTTAATTTTTGTTGTTGCTGTTTCGATTGTTTGGGGTTTTTTCCTCTCTTGTCCAGCATTCTACTGTTATGGCAGCATTGTTAACACTGTTTCTTAATACTGTGGGCTTTTTCTTGCATAGGTTGTATGCATACTTTTCAACATAGCTTCACCTTCTTCCTGCATTGGGATTTCAAAATCAGGATGAAGGGAGCTGGTAATCTGTTGAGCATTCCAGAATCTCAGTATGGGGTTACTGAGTAGGGATGCAGTGGAAGGGGAAGGGCTAGCAGGGATCTATAGAGCAAAGCTGGTCCTGTACAGCAGCAGCCAGAATGCTGCTTTGTGTGGTAATTTCCTATTTTTTTGGGTAATTATTAGCAGGTCTTTTTTTGTTTGGGTTGGTTTGGGGTTTTTTTGTCATTGTTTTGGTTTTTTAGGATTTTTTTTGCCTTACTGAGTGAGTTAGCTGTCAATTAGGAGGAGTTCTCTTCTACTGAAGTGTTGAGGTATTTCATTGTGGCTAAACGTAGTTAAGAATGCCCATTTTTACTCTTGTTCTGTTTTTTTTACATGTTTGTGCTGGTCTGCCAACTAAAATAAATGCCTATGTGTGTTTTTGTGATTGTTGACAAATACTTCAATATTTAGGTCTCCTCTGACTTCCATCTAAATTCCCCACTGCAAATCTTCCTGTGTCACAAGCACCAGTGAGCATTGGTTTCAGCAAGCAGTGCTTATCCTGGCAGCAGCCCCTGAAGTTGGCACTGTGACAGCAGTGATGGCCAGCAAAGCAACTGCTGCACTGAAGTGCTCTGAGAATTGCAGGTGGCTGTGGAGGAGCCACATGTAAAATAATGGCAGCTCCACAGCAGCACCAGCGATATCCTACGCTCCATGAAGGACTCAGAAGTTGACCTCCCCACCAAACAAGTGGTAATCTTTGCTCATCTTCTACATCTTCAAATGTGGCAGCATTTAGATATTTATTACAGTTGCAGACCACCTGGAGTGGCTGCCAGCTGAAGAGGTGTTGGTGCTTGTCTATCAATTGCAAGGGATTTCAGTACCTCCATTCATAGATGCTTTCTGGCCTTTAAGGAGATCAGTGCGAGTTTGTTTCGCTCCAGTGTACATAAGTAATTAATGGTGATCTCAGGCAGCCACCTTCTACTGGGAGGGGTGAAACCAGGAAATGCCTTTCCTTTTGGTCAGTCTTTATTTTTTTCTCCTTTCTGTTCTCACATAGTAATAAGGTCCAGTGTGGGATCCACATTTGGGTCTCATAGCTGTTATTGTGATACTAAGGGCCAGAATGATCACTAACCAAATGGTCAGTAAAAAGAAAAAAATCTCTGTGAAAGGAAGCAGTGAAAAAGCCAAACCAGGCTTTCCTATGTTTCCTAGCACGTGCCAGGACAGCTAAAGCAGGATCTTACGTGCTGTGAGAAAAATGGTTCACCACAAACATCTTTAAAGTGACCACCTTGAGGTCTCCTCATTCTTTCTCAAGATGTTGCCCAACTTAAGATGACAGTTTTACCATATTGGGCAAAGCAGTGGTTTTGTTTGTTTAGAGCATCTGAAATGTGGGTTGTGAGTGAACTGGTCACTGTTTTGGCATCCCCAGTGGTGGAATGCATATGTGGACAATCAGATTGCTCAGAGGAAGAGGAGAATTTACTGGCATCCTTATCCACATTCCAGGGCATACCTTTCATCTCCTCATCTTCACTGCTGTGCTGGAAGAAAAAGAGAGAGGGTAATTAATACTCTATGAATTTTAGAGGCAAAGCTCGAGTGACTTTTGCTACCTCCATCCATTGTGTGGCCTGTGAATTCCTCAAAGTTTGGGTGTACCTGGTACTTGCACAGCTCCAGTGCTGCAGGTGATGCAGCTAAGGAAAGTTTCAGTGGTTTGATACTCAGACTTAGGTCTTGTTTTGTTTTTTTTCTATACAATATTCAAGAATATGCATTCATGGTTTGTGGCCTGTCCATCCTAGTGGAATATAAAAGACAGATGCATTGTATCATCCATGGTCATTGACATCTCAGCAGCAATATGTTGATTTATAGCACCTAAGGAAAGAACCTAAGATTTTTTTTCTGCTTCTTGAGAGAGGAGGGAGAAATGTTTAATCAAACTTGGAAAATTCCCTTGGATGACAGCAATAAAACTAGTCAAAAGATAGTATTCATGTCAAAGTGGTTAATGTGGTTGTCTCACCATTTTATTTATTTAAAAGAGGTTGTTAAACTTGTAAGAAGATCCTTCCAAACAATTACAGTTTTATGGAGTTTTCCTTATTAAATATAGGGGACTTATTGTTCATTTGTTTCTCGTGAGCAATGGTAGTTTATTGTGTACATTGTTAAGTTCCATGTTCACTACATCCGATTCCTTTATATCCAATTTTATGAATTATATGTTGACCAAGTTGTCTGTGTATGTGTGTACATATGTGCTATGTAGATAACTGAACTCATTATACAGATAAATTCTTGAAAGTGGTTATTCTGATAATTGCAGGCATTAAAAGCTTGAATAGATTAGAGTGCCTTAGTCTTATTTAAAGTTCACACGGGTTATACAGGCCTTTTTTTAAAATCAGCTTTTATTTGTTTTAAAAATATAAATAAGTCATAAATAGCATCTTTCAAATAGTTTAAAAACATAAGGTATACAACAATTTTTCTGGGTTCTGAAAATATTTTTTGTTGAGTACATATTAAATAAGTTGCTATTCTGAACAGTACCATTAGAAAATTGCTTAAATTATTCCTAAATATTGAAAATATAAATAAGAAACATTAGAAATTAATAAATATTTTAAATACAATAAATAACTTCCTAGAAGGAAATAAGAATATATATAAATGCAAACCATCGTTACTATTTCTGGTTCTTAAAACAGAACAACACTCTTGTCTGCCACATGACAGATGTGTAACAAAGGATTGTGCCTGAACTAAAACATTTAGGCACTGAAACTCCTGGTATTTTTCAAATAGCGCACAGCCCTCACTGTTTTCTCCATAAATGAAGTAAAGTCTCGGAGGATGAGGTGGGTGGTGATTTTCTCTATCCAGGTCTTACTGGACTTCAGCTTTGTGCGGAGGGATTCCTGGGTAGCTGCATCTGGGATGATCACTTCTTCAGGATTGATCACCTATGAAAAAAGACAATATTGAGGGGATCCTGGTTAAAACATTGTAATTGAGCTTGTTGGAGAGCATCAGTTTGTGTATTCCCAACCAGCTGCATATCCACACTTTCTGTGCTGCAGACAACAGCCCTCCCTGGGAGCTGTGCTTCTGTACAGCCATGCTTCTGTGGAGGGGTTTGAGGAATGCTGATGCCTGCTACGATTCCTGTGTAAAAATCTCCGATCTATACTGTTTGCTCTGGTTTGAATGCAACGTCTGGCATTGTGGTCCAACACTGCACTGAGCAGATCAATGCACCTCTCCTGCTGTCTGTTAGTCTTCTGGGGAGGTGGGAAGGCCCTGATCATGGTCTGTTCTAACCTGTACTGGCTACTCCATCCTGAATCACATAAGCTGACATTGGGAGTAAAAGCTCTCACGTTTTGTAGTAGATTAACAGTTTCTAAAGATGTCAGATTTGTTTAGTTGCTTAATTCTTACTTTCCAGGCATTTAGTCACAGAGGAGACTGAGTGCTGCCAACTTTCACTGATGTGTGGGAGCACAACTACAAGATGAGTGAAAGGAGTTATGTACTTTATTATTATGCAAGCCTCCTTCTGGAACATCTTTTTTTTTTGTGAAATATAAAATATAAATATTCTTTCTGTCCAGACTACTTGGAAGTGGATTCTGATCACCCCCCCTGTTACTGATATACCCAGCTCCTTGTTGCACTCTGTAGAAGTTTGTGTCTGGATATCCAGGCAGGTATTGTCCTGGTGGATCTATCTAACCACAAGTGACAGATTCTTGCCTTAAATAGCAGATTTTTCTCTCATAAAGAAAAATTTCCAACTTGAAGATGAAGACTTTTTCTCAAAAATTCTGTAGTTTCTACAAGTACAGGTTTTGCTTTTGAACACTGTGTTTAATTCTGCCTGTTTGATTACATTGATTCTACTAATTTTCAAAAAAAACCACCCTAATTTCCCTCAGTTATGAAACAAACTTTCTGCAAACTAATATATCAAGTTGGAAGCCAGTAGTCAGTTGCTGTCTTATGATGGGGCTATTATTCTCAGCTAGCACTGTGTGAAAAAAGCAGTTCGACTTCCTTTCACTTTAAAGAATGATGGGCATAAATCAATATGTTAGGAAAGGTATGGCAAACAAGCAGTGGACTTTTCACAGATACCAAAAAGCATCTTGAAGGAAATAGTACCCCGAGACTTTTGCAGTCCTTATGTGGATGATTTTTACTTGGGCAAATAGGTTCCCCAATGACAAAGGAAATATTTATGTTAAGGATTTTTAATGTGAGCAAGAACTACAGGAAATAAGTGAATTTTTGAAGTGTGATTTTTCAGAGCTCTCCAAAACATGGAAAATGTCTGTCAGAAATAAGTAGCATTTGGTTTACCAAATCAAAACAGCATTTGTCAAGAAAGGGTTTTATTTTCATGATCATTACAAGCAAAATATGTGCTTTTTAATAGGCAGCTGTCTTCCTTGATTTTTAAGCTACTGATAGATATTTCCATATACCATGCAGCTTGGCTTAAAAGTTTGTTTTGGAGAGTTTTAAAGATCAATACTGTTGTAAAAATGTATTTGCCTTTTTTTAAATGCATTTAATTGGTTTGGAAATTAGAAATTCAATAGAAAGTAGGAAGAAGAGTTGTTCTTAAAGAAAAGAAACCAAAACTTTGTACAACCTCTAAATTAGTCATGAGGATAAGATCTGAGCATAAGGAACTGTCACCTGTTGTTTCAGTGGGAAATGTTCAGCTTCACATAGCATCCTGTATCTCTCTGACTGCACATCAGTATTAAGCCATAACAGTTATCAGAGTGAATTTAAAACCAACTCACCATTTGTCTTATGGTATGTGCCAGGTGCTCTGTACTATAGCTTAGCGATTCAAGGTTTTGGTTTTCACTAATAAAAGTTTCTTGCACATATTTGAGGTATGTCTGAAATGTATAAAGCCCGCTGGAGATTTTTTTCAAGCATTTATCCTGAAATGAGAGAAAGGTGAGAAAGTCACTTACAGCTCAAAATACCTTGATCGCAATGCTGTGTGCAGGTTAGCAGATGATGCTTATACAGAGTGTGAAGGTCTGGCTAAAGCCAGCTGGAGCCGGCACAAATCTTTAGGTCAACTTCCACAGGTTTTTTTAGCAGGCAAAAGTTGCCCCAGGCACATAGGGTTAGACCAGAAAGGAGTTCCTTGCCTCATCGAATCCGGCGTGCAGACACCCGTCTTCCTCCGTCACTCTGGGGAGGTTGAGGTTGTTCTGGAGGAGCATTTCCATGCTGTTCTCGCAGACGGTGAACTTCTCGCACATCTGGGGAGAGACACCGAGAAGTTTCGGTCGCACCTTGGCCGGAGGCAGCCCCTCCCGGGCCGGGTGTGTGCGGGAGTGCGAGCCCGCGGGCCGCCCGTACCCACCTCTCGCTGCAGCTGAGCCGCCCGGTCGCGCAGCAGCTGCGCCAGCCGCAGGCTGTGGGGCAGCGCCGCCCGCCGCGCCGCCGCCTCCTCCGGATCGGCCTCCCCCGAGGAGTCTGCGGCCCAGGGCAGCGGGACGGCGGCGGCCCGCGGCAGCAGCAGCAGCAGCAGCAGCAGCAGCGGCAGCAGGAGGATCGGCAGCGCGGGCTGGCGGCGGCCGGAGCGGGCACGGGCGCAGCCACAGCTCGGGGCGAACTTCATCGTGCGGCTTCTCGGCTCCGGCCCCGGCCCCTTCTCGTCGGCGAGGCTGGCGGGTTGAATGAGCTCCGGACATCCCTGAACGTGTATTTATCGAGGGGGCTTCGAGATTATTCATGGCCTGGGAAAATCCGGCATGAGAACACGGAGGGGGGGGGGGGGGGGGGGGGGGGGTTGGAGGGGGGGGGCGGCTTGGCACTGGTGGGGGGGGGGATTGTGAAACGGGGCCGGTGGGAACATGAAGTAATCCTGCTCCGTAATTCCTTGACGGCTGGGCTGCCCCCTGCACACACCGCCGGCTCACCTGACCCCGCGGGGTCTCGGCCAGGGCCAGAGCTGGAGCCCCCGCGGTCCAGCTGTCTCTGAGCCTGCCAGCTCCAGCCGCACAGAAAGGCTTGGAAATCACCTACCTATTTACATGCGTACACTAACTATATATGCTATATACTTTCTGGTATTTCAATATTTTAAAAATTATATTTTGATATTTTATGTTTATTTAAAGTATATGGTTTAAGGTTTTATGAATTTTGTATGATGTATATTTATCTCTGTATTTTGGCTATTTTTATTGTATATATATCTGTGTGAAACTAAACACCCCTGTTTAGGTGCAGGGTATGTACAAGTTGTAAGTTGCCTCTTCCCCTGTGAACTACATACGGGTAGATTACATACATTATGTTCATACACTTTAAGTGGACCAAAACCAGCTCCCACAGCTCCAGCAGGAGGGTGGCTGCAGGAAATGCCATGAAGTTCCCTGTTATCTGCTGCCTTATCTTTTTCTGCCTACCTGGTCAGTGTTGCAGGAATTTTAACCTTTCAGAGGGACTCTTCACCCAGGGCAAGTGTGCCTGTTTAGATCAATCTTGTAGAATGCAGACTGAGTCAAACTGGGCAAGGCATGCTGACATTGAACTTTTGGAATGTCTTGAACTGATTTTGGCCAAACTGACTTTTTTTTTTTTTTTTTTTTTTAATACGAAATCAGTTTTGTTTTCTCACATAACGAAGACCAGAGTGAGACCTGATTCTCCTTTGAGAAGTGCTAACAGGCGGGGGCAGAGTGAGGAGAACAGAACATGTGGCATAAGAGTGGTGAAAGACAATACAGTGACTGAACTTGGGTGTCCTTATTTGGATTCTCCCTTTAAAAAAAAAACCAGATACTTCTAATTCATTTTCAGCTTGAATTCGCATTCAGCTTGGATAGAGAGCCTCAGGAAAGGCTCAGCTGCAGTAATTTTGCCCAGTTGAGAGATATTAGAGCTGGAACACAAGTGTGAGAGAGCAGTTTTCAACTGAAGCAATCCGTCTCTGCCCAGGTCCCTGAGCACAGCAGAGGGGATATTGCCAGAACAGTATCTGCTGTAATGTTAGCTCTCCCTTACTAAGTCTGTGGAGTTAGGAATAGAAGAAAGCATACCAGTAACTGTACATTTGACTAGTATCAATTAAAAGAACCTATTGAAATGGTACAAAAGGATTAAAACAGCCAGACCAGATGAGCTCAGTGCCTGGTATTTGCCTTCTGATGACCATCAGAGGCAGGTATAGCAGGGAAGGAACTCCTGCCTACCTCTTTTTCCATTTGCAATAGCATATGGATGTACATGTCTCAGAGAGGGATTTCCTTCCACTCCCAGGCGACTCATAGGCTGTTCCCTGCAGGCAGTCAAACTTTTCCTTTACCTAACCAAAGTGAAAATACTGCTCTTAAAATGACCAAAACTTGGTAGAAGGTTGTGTTTCCTTCAGGAATTTTTTTCAGCAGGCATTCTGTAATTGAGTCTTGTCTGTAGCTCCGTAAGTTTTAATTTTGTAACCTGATTTTATGGGTTGTCATTTTCTTATTATGTATCTATTCCTTAGCAATTTTCAGGGAACCTTTTTGTGATGATCACTATTATACAGTCTTGATGATGTGTGTAGTTACATTTTAAGAGTGAAATAAAAGCAAGTTTCAACTGTTGTTCCTCACATAAAAGTCTCTAAGCCTTCAGTTATTATTTTCTCATTTTGGGGTTTTGTTTAGTTTTTTATATGAATGTCCATGTGACTTTTCAGAAGTACAAAGTATACTTACATGCTCCAGTGGAAGTTGCTCATTAATGCCTTAGAAACTCCATTTGATAATCTAGGACAAAGCATAGCATTCAAGGGAAGAAGGAACTGGAATTTACACAACAGCATTAAAATACTTCTTCTATTGCTGGGGACAGTTTCTTATGGAAAATCACTTATTTAATTGGTACTGTACATAACAGAAATACTTTGCACTGACCTATCTATAATAATGGTTAAAGTTTGTGGGGTGCTTAAAGGAGGTCAATTAATCCACACTGTACTACACTGAGTTACACTTATTTATCAGTAGTCACGTTGTTCAAAATGTATTAAGCCCTGAACAAACAGCACTTGCTCATGAGTTAGATACAGGTCAGGAGATCTGCCTGGTATTTGAGATGCATGAGTAGTGTTGCTGAGACTCTAAGTTGTAGTTTCTAGATACCAAGGAATTTCTTTCCTGCATAGCATCTCTGTAATGCTGCCGATTACTGTTCTTTTTATTTCTATTGCACTTCATTTCACTGTGCAGGTTATTTTTTTCCTTGGCATTTATAGTATCAACCAGATGGCTGCATTCTGACATGTAAAACCTTCCTAAGGTGCGATTTCAGAAATTCTCAGTGTTTATCCAGCTTTTTCTTCTGTCTGAGAAATGAGAATTACTCCTGTAGGTTTTTGTAGGAGCAAAGAGTCCAGTTCTGAATGTTCTGAAAAATCTCTCCTCTCACAGTTTCCACACATGAAATTGCTCCTGATTGCAGTCAAGTGTGAGTTTATAGCCAGGGAGCCAATCCAGAATCATCCCATGTGTCAATATCTTGTTTTCTAGGATCAGTGTGCAACTCACTGACCTGTTCTGGTTCTGTTTCTTCTAGAATTGCTCTACCCGGGAGCAAGCCCATGCCACTTTTGCTCCTGATAACCTGGGAGAATTTGTAGAGAGGAGGCTGTTTTCAGGAAAGGTGGTTGACAACAGCATGGAAATGGTACTGCCACTAAAGAATTCAACAAACTGCAGAGCTGTCATGGTCAAAGCTTGTCTCCCCTCTTCTGTCAGCTGTCAGGCACATGTCTGCAAGGAGCCCTGCAGTGGGGCAAGGTAAAACACAGCAGCGGGAGACCTTGCTTGCTGAATGCTGTGAGTCAACTATGTGGCTACATAAATGGTATTCCTAAATAGAAAAATAAGGTATTTTAGTAAAGTAGAATTACTAGGGTTACAGTAAGTTCCACTTTGATTTGTGTGTTTGCTTTGACTGTCTTTCTCTTTCTAATAATCTCCACTACAGTAGTAAGATAAACCACTGATGCTTATTGGGGGATTATGACTTTAAATAGTACTGTTGATAGTAAGAGATGAAATACAAATGGAAATATGGTGTTCTTCTATAGAAGTGTTAGATTTTGTGTGGAAGAACATACCAATTGTCAGAGGACTGTTCAAGAGGGATCATGACAGTGACTGAGCAAATAACTCCCAAATATCTCGAATGAGGTTGGAAAGCTGATGTCCAGTTCCCCTGACATATTTTTGGTTGAATTCCTCAAAGCTTACAATGAGGGAACTTGAGTTCCTACAGATCTTGTAAAGAATGTCAGAGTTCTTTGTAGTGTTAAACCAAGCTGCCCTGTGCTGTATTTGAAGTGAACAGGTTGAACAGGTCAGTAATACCCTGTGTTCATGTTTCTCATAAACAAACATTGCTTTGACAAGCTGCATGTCACCGAAGACCGCTGGAGCACTTGACTGTTGCTTTTGTGGCTTTGCAAGTTCTTTGGTTCTCTGTTGGTTGTTTGCCAGGGAACTGCAGAGCTCTTTGGGGATTTTTTGGTGAAAAACTCTGGGGATTGCTCATTTTTCTTTCCTTAAGGAAAACATGCATCATTTTTAAACAAGACTAGGTCTTATCACAATAAGACCTAATTTTTTTTCTTTGAGTACATCATATGCAAATACCATGGATTTCCTTGCCTTGAGCTAAATCAGAGGTCTAAAGGAAAAATGTTTGCTTACCTTTAAATTATGTCCTGGTTTTCAGCTTTATCTGCTTCATTTCAAGAAGAGGAATCATGCCATGGTCTTCTCTAGTCAACTTCCAGGCGTGCAGGTGGGCAGTCCTAGGAGAAAGAGGTCCTAAGGATAACTGTTCTTGGGGAATATCTGAATGCTACAAGTCACTTTAAGTGGACACATCTTCAAGTCAAAATGATTTCAGGCATTTTAATGCTGGAATGGGAACATCGTGACACTTGACAGTGAAACTAGATTTGCACTAGGAGCACTTTGCTGTTGTGGCTGCACCAATAAATGGCATCAGGAAGCAATTCCACGAACTTTTCTTATGGAATGAAAGTAGCTGTTGCTTTGTCTCTATCACAGTGTTGTGTGTGGTGTGGTGGGTACCTCTTCATAGGGCTACATCAGGCACCAGATCAGAGAACTGGATGAGTTAGAAATACCCCAATGGCCTTTGGTCTTTCACAAGCACACTTTCACAGTACCTGCATGCTGTTATCTGGCTTATTTGTGAGCATTACCCACTGTGGCAACACGCTGTTTTGACAAGGATCCCATTTGATGAGTATTGTGTTTTGAATTTTGTAGGGCTGTACTTCTAAAGAAAATATCCTTCCCCTTTTAAAAATAAATTGACTGTAAATTCCACTTGTGTTCAAGGAACCTGTTTGTTCCCTTTGAGCTCTCTAAGCATAAAAGATGAAAATTCAAAGAAATTGTATGACGAAGCAGAAAAGTGAGGGGAAGTCATGGGGGAAGATGAAGAAGCTGAAAAGAGAACACAGTGAGGAGCCTGAGTGTATGGGAGGTACTGAATGGTATAAGTATTTATCTTTATTGTTTGCCATTTTTAACATAGTACATTAGACGTAGATTGTGTTTTACAAAGCATTCAAAAGGCAAGTTCTCCCTC